TGATCATCGTCCCACGGCATTAGGGTTTTGAAATCGTCGAATTAGGGGAGTTCGACCTTAAAATCAGATTGAATTTGAAGCATGGCGAATGTGGCAGCCATGGACAATCTAGGCTACTGCGCGCGCGCGTAGCGCGCCAATATAATCTGAGGGTTTTAGGGTTCGCACCAGCGGGAAATGCGATAGCTGGCTATCCGTTGTCCGGCCAGACTCAGTCCGGCCGGAACTTCCTGGCGCATAATCCGTACCAGAAGCTCTGTCTGAGTCGCACGTGCATTCAATGATTCATCCAGCTGCCGCTGCCGAAATGTATGCTTCGATCTGATACGTTCGTACGGTAGTAAAACGCGTCATTGTCGAACGGGCCCGCAACGGTTGCCCGTGGCGGTTGTTTTCAGGAAGAAGCTCACCTAAACACGGCCGGTACGCATTTCAGCTGTTGACACTACAAGAGCAAACATATCCTTCATTAAATTTTTGAGAATGAATGAAGTGTCAAGAAAAGTGCACCACCACGAGAGGGAAAGGGCGACCAGCTTCAAGTTTCACGCACTCCTCAACGAGAAGAACTTGAATGCACCATGTTGGTTGCATCGCAAAGCACCGTCTTTTTCGGGAACAGTGCGCCCGTGAACGACTCGTCTCTTTGGACTTGAGCCATCACGATTTTCCACTTCCACAAGTCCCAGCTTCTTCTTCCTGCAGCCTGCGCCTTTCCTTTCCTTCTCAATCCAAGCACACCTCGCGCAAAGAAAAGTGCAACCATGTCTGTCCCTGCCCTTTCCACCTCTCCCCACCCCCCCGTAAAGCGGGCCCTGATTACGGGGGTCACTGGTCAGGACGGCTCCTATCTCACGGAGTTTCTTCTCTCTCAAGGGTACGAGGTCCATGGGATCATCCGGCGTTCTTCCAACTTTAATACGCAGAGGCTGGATCACATTTATGTCGACCCCCACACGACCAACGCCAAGCTCAAGCTGCATTATGGAGACCTAAGCGACTCCAACTCGCTGCGTAAGTGGATCGATACCATCCAGCCGGACGAGATCTACAACCTGGGGGCGCAGTCTCACGTCGGTGTCTCCTTCGAAAACCCCGAGTTTACTGCTGATGTGACGGGGACTGGAGCTCTGCGTCTGCTGGAGGCCGTCAGGACTCACCAAGAAGACACGGGGAGGAAAGTCAAGTACTACCAGGCAGGGTCGTCTGAGATGTATGGATCCACGCCCCCCCCTCAGGCGGAGGACACTCCCTTCCACCCTCGGAGTCCTTATGCTGTTGCCAAGGTTGCTGCGCACTGGTACACCGTCAACTACCGGGAGGCGTATGGCTTGTTTGCCTGCAATGGGATCCTGTTCAACCACGAGTCACCGAGGCGCGGGGAGAACTTTGTGACCAGGAAGGTGAGGAAGCAGCTCTGGGACGCAGATCACAAAAGAATGGATTCACAGCAAAGATAGGGAGCACAATGCATTCTGTCAGATCGAAGACCAAAGAACTTCAGAGCAATCCCTTCTTCAGCTTCAAAGTCCATTGTCTATGTGCCGATTAGGGTTTCAAGAGGCTGCAGTTGGTCTGGAGGACCCCACAAGCTGCCTTTTTTGTTAGATCTGCTTTGTATGAGTTCCTTGGCAGAGTCAGGTTTGTTCTGAATGACTAGCTTGTAGCTTCTGATTTCATCCAATATCCAGGATGCTGGCGCTTTGAAGTGTTTGTCTGTTTAGCCGACTGCAGAGATCTGTTCTGATTGGAACTTGCCAGAAAGATCCAGTGTCTGCAAAGAGCTGAATTTTGACCTGCTTATGTGCGCATATATTCTGGTTCAGACTTTGCAATAGTTCTGCTAGATTGAATCTGCGTTTTGAGTGACTGCCATGAAGCTTTTCATCATTGGTATGTGCATAATTGAGATTCATAGAACAAAGTCTGCATAAAGTAGGTGACTTGTGAAAGTTGAGCTCCTGCAGCAGTTGTAAATGATTTG